GCGGGGTCAACAAGCCCCGAGATCTGGGCGTTGCCATCTTCTCACAACGGGCGTGGTCGCTCAGTCTCGGGCCCCAAGGCCCGCGCAGATCGATCCGGCTCGAAGAATGAAGCAGAAAGAGGGGGTCCAGGGCTCCAGCTGTGATCTGTCGCGATGCTGCAGCTTTTTCGCGGCGTAGGATCTCTTGAGCAGGGACCGACCGTCCCGGCATTCCTATGGTCCTACCATGAAATGTTCTTAGAACCCACCAATGTTCTAAGAACAAAAACAATGTTCTTAGAACATAAGCCCGATGTGCTAAAACAGGACAGACTCCGCCCGACATGTTCTAAGAACATTTCGTGGGAATCACAAAAGGTTCCTAGAACATTGGTTGGTAGGGCTATAGGCGAGCCAGGACGCTTCGCTACTGCTTGAATCGCAGGGAGGCTGCAACACCGCTGCTCCCCGGACGGCGCCCCGGGGGGGCGCCCTGCCCACAGACTCGAGGAGAGTCCAGCCGTGGCAACGGGGGCCTCCCGGGAGGGCGCAGAGAGGCAGAGGCAGCGGCGTCGCTCCCCGGATCTCTCGTGGTGTGCGTTCCGACCAGGACGTCGAGGAGGATCCAGCCGTGGCGGCGAGGCAAACAGAAGGAGGAGGAGGAGGAGGAGGAGAAGGAGGAGGAGGAGGAGGAGGAAGAGGAGGAGGAGGAGGAGGACGGGGACCAGTCCTGAGGAGGGGAGGAGGAGGCCGAAGGTCCCTGGAGGAGGGGGAGGGGGGGTTGGGACAAGAATATGCTTACGTGCTGGAGTGGCTCGGCGTCTGCCTGGTGCGCTGTCTTCCTACAGGCGGACTTTGGACGAAAAATAAAACATTGTCAAAACAGATTTCGAAATGGTCCAGAAAAATTGGGAAAATCGTACCTCGAATATGTTTTGACTATTTTTGTATATTCCTCCTGCAGATGGACACGCCCGACTCAACCCTTCACCTCTCCCGTACTCGCGCGTCCGCTACACGCGTTACTGCTACTGCGGGGACGACACTTTTTTTTTGCTGTGCCCGCAGAGGAGCTCACGGCCGCCGGCTGCGGGACACAGTGCCGATGGGGGGGGAGAATCATGCAATGTTTCGTCGCCGGGAGCGCTGTTCCCCTGGCCTCCGGGCCCCCCTCCTCCTCCTCCTCCTCCTCCTCCTCCTCCTCCTCCTCCTCCTCCTCCTCCTCCTCCGCTCCCTCCTCCTCTCCCTCCTCCTCGCTCCTCCTCCTGATGACGGTGCTCCCCTGGACCTCCCTGACTCCTGATCCGCCCTACTTTGGCTTTTTTTTCCAACTTAAATTTGCGTCGGAGATCTACCTATAAGAAACCGAAAAAGTAGGGCGGAATCTTACCATCACACCCTCAATACTTACTCCTTTAACGAACAGGAAAGAAAATAAAATAAAAATAAAACTTTCGCACCCATGCCCAACCATAAAATTAAGAGCTGGCGGAGGGAAGCTCGGAAATCCACAAGAAGGTTTTATAGGGCGCGGCAATTCCAAGCCCTACTTACGAATTTCCCCAAAGTAGGGCGGATCCGGAGTCAGGGGAGCCCCCCAGACATCCGACGTCTCGATTTTTTCGAGACGCGGGCCCCAGACCTCCCGACCACTTCCCTGGGACCGGTTTTTCATCCCGAGTGGTTTTTTGACGGTCCCGAGGCCTGGCGAGGGCCCCGAGAGGCCAAAAAGTATAAAAAATCTCATCGATTTTTTAGAGACGCCCGATGTCTGGGCCTGGGCCCCGCCCTTCTGCGCCGTTCTGCGAGCCCTTTGTGGGCCCCGGAAACGGCAGGGCCGTTTTTTCACCGTCTCCAAAAAAAGTGCCCCTTGAAAGTGGAAACGGCAACAACAGGCGACCGGAAACGGCAAAAAAACGGCTCCAGGATTGGAACCGGAGCCGGAACCGGTCAAAAAACGGCGACGGAACCAGTACAAAAACGGCGTCGGAACCGGCAACAAAAACGGCAAAACGGAATTTGTAACAAGACGGCCCTGTCGTTTCTCCAGGGCCCACTTATAAGTGCGAGCCGCATCAAGCTGTGGTGGCCCCAAGAGTCCCGGGAACGGGCAGCGTCGGCGGCCGTGCTCAATCGGGAGCGGCCAAGAGGGGGGTGTCCAAGAGGGGGGGTGCAAATCATGACCGGCGGCATGTGCGCGGCCCAGCGAGGGGGCCAGGGACGTAATGAAATAAGAAGAGGCGCCATGAAATCTGGGGAAGTATCATGGCCCCCGCCATGATATCCACCCCCCCCTAGTAATCACCCCCCTCTTTGCCGCCCCCGACTCAAAGACTGCAGCGCCAGGACCTCGGGGAAGGCATCCCTCGCCCGGGCATGCCAGATCGCACCCATATACCGCTGCTCTGCGGACCCCTCCCGGGGCGCGTTCTGACCAGAGCTTCGTGGCGAGCCCAGCCGTGGCCACAAGGGTCTCCCGGGAGGCTCCTCCCCCCCCCTCCTCCTCCTCCTCCTCCTCCTCCTCCTCTCCTCCTCCTCCTCTCCTCCTCCTCCTCCTCCCCCTCCTCCTCCCTCTCCTCCTCCCCTCCTCCTCCCTCTCCTCCTCCCCAGGAAGTGGAAAGCGCGCCGAGGGCAGCGGCACCGGCGCCTACTTGATCCTCGACCCTCGATCCTCGACCCTCGATCCTCGCCCCTCAACTCCTCGACGCCTACCCTGAACCCCTGACTTTGTGCATCTTCGAGGGGCCTTCTCGGTCCCGTCGCGCCGCGATCCACGCCGAATCCATGTCGAATCCGCGTCCAGCGAGCCGAATCCGTGCCGAATCCACGTCGAACCCGCGGCGAACCCAAGTCGGAGCACAAGGGAAGACGGCCACTGACAGGACAGGAGCGGTCCCCCGAGGATGCAAAGTGACCCGAGGGCCTCCCAGGTCGGCCGACCAGCAGCACATGAACCCCAGGTCCGGCGGGTGCGGCCGCCACGCCCCGCCCGGGTCTCCCTCGACCTCGTCGTCGTCGTCGTCGTCGTCGTCGTCGTCGTCGTCGTCGTCGTCGGCGTCGTCGTCGTCGTCGTCGTCGTCGTCGTCGTCATCCTCGTCGTCCTCCTCGTCGTCCTCGCCGTGGTCTTCGTCGTCGTCGTCCTCCTCCTCCTCCTCCTCGTCCTCGTCCTTGTCCTCGTCCTCGTCCTCGTCCTTTTCCTCGTCCTCGTCCTCGTCCTCGTCCTCGTCGTCCGCGTCGTCGTCGTGGTCCTTGTCGTCGTCCTCGTCCTCGTCGTCGTCGTCGTCCTCGTCCTCGTCGTCGTCGTCGTCGTCCTCGTCCTCGTCGTCCTCGTCCTCGTCGTCGTCGTCGCCGTCCTCGTCGTCGTCGTCGTCCTCGGCGGGTGCGGCCGCCACGCCCCGCCCGGGTACCCCGCGACCTCGCCAGCGCCGGGGGCGGGCTGCCGGGCGCCCTCGGGGCGCATCAGCTCGACGAGGACGGCCAGCGGCTTGCAGCACGCGACCTCGTGGAGGGCCTACTCGTCCTCGTCCTCGTCCTCGTCCTCGTCCTCGTCGTCGTCCACGTCGTCCGCGTCGTCGTCGTCGTCGTCGTGACCCTCGTGCTCGTCGTCGCCGTCGTCCTCATCGTCGTCCTCGTCGTCCTCGTCCTCGTCCGCGTCGTCGTCGTCCTGCTCGTCCTCGTCGTCGTCGTCCTTCTCGTCGTCGTCGTCATCCTCCTCCCCGTCCTCCTCGTCCTCGTCCTCGTCGTCCTCGTCGTCCTCGTACTCGTCGTCCTCGTCCTCGTCGTCATTGTCGTCTTCCTCCTCCTCCTCCTCCTCCTCCTCCTCCTCCTCCTCCTCGTCATCCTCATGCTCGTCGTCTTTGTCCTCGTCATCGTCGTCGTCCTCGTCGTCGTCGTCGGAGGAGGCGGCGTCGTCGTGGCCCTACAAGCACGGACGATGCAAGCCAGGGCCTTGGCTGCTTCGACATTCGGCTGCAGCTTCTCTCTCCGGCGCGCCAGCGTCCCGATTTCTCAGCATCCCCGTTTACCCGGCTTGTCCACTTTCCTCCTCCTCCTCCTCCTCTTCCTCCTTCTCCTCCTCCTCCTCCTTCTCCTCCTCCTCTCCTCCTCCTCCCTCCCTCCCTCCTCCCCTCTCCTCTCCTCCTCCTTCTCCTCCTCCTCCTCCTCCTCCTCCTCCCTCCTCCTCCTCCTCCTCTGCCGCTGCCCGCTCAGGCCTTTCCCGTTGCATCGGGAATTCAAGGGGGCATGCCGTTGCATCGGGAATTCAAGGGGGTACGCCGTTGCCTCGGGAATTCAAGGGGGTACGCCGATCGATCGAGTTGGTGGTTGGATCTGGGTTTGCCACCAACGGATGCTGAAACGCAACGCCAGGGGACCGACCGGAAACTGGTCCGTCGATGTAGTGAAAATTTTTGTCCTGGAGGTTCCGGGGTGTGGCGTATACACAGTCTCGGAGTCGAAACTGTGTATGCTGGTTTGTGGGCCCCCATTTGCAGGAATCCCGCCTCAGGAGTGAAAGGCATCGCGGGCATCGCGGACGGCATCGACACTCGGAGTGGCCCCCCTCCCTCTCGCCCCTCCCCTCGGCGAGGACCGTCAATAGGCCTCGTCGGTGAGGACCGTCATTAGGCCTCACACCCCTCGCAGCTTCCATCAATGGGGTTGCGAGGGTTCCCGCTCCCACCAATCAACCTTCCATTTTGCCGTCAATAGGCACCGGAGGGGGCCGAGGACCCCCCTACGGTCCCTCGGCCAACGAAGACGGCCGTAGGGGGGGGTGACCCGTACCTCCATCTCAAGGCATTCGTGCCACCACCTACCATTCCAGGCACCAATTGCCACCCACCACATCTATCCTCCTTTGGGCCGTGAACGGGATTTATTCCCCTGCTGGCTGATTGTGCCTGTCAATGTCAGTCAGCTTTTACATTTTGGCACTTGGGCCACCCCAGCAGTGCACCAAGGGTGACGGTTCGACCCGTGCTGTAGTGGCACTCATGCGGTCGTGTCCCTCTCCCCGCCCACCTAGGGTGATGGCTCGACCCGTGCTGTAGTGGCACTCATGCGGTCGTGCCCACTCCCCGCCAACCAATCGAGAAGACCTACCTCCAGGATCCCTTGGGGCCACAAATCTACGTTTGACTTCAGTCTCTGTCCCCCCCACCCCTCTCTTTCCCGTCCCCGCTCTGGCCCCTTGCCTGCCCCCTGCCCCCCCCCCCCGCTATCCTGGGCCCCCACCCCGCCCCCACCCCGCAATGCGTTCAGGTTCAGGTGGTCCTTCTCAGGATCCCGCTTCAGGACCCTCCGTGACCGTGGCCACGCGATGGCCGCCCGCAGCCGCTCGCTGGGCCTCTTCTGCTCCTTATGCGGCAGCCACGACCACATCGGGAAGGACTGCGCCGCGCTCGACATGGCGGAGTCCCTCACCGACGCGCTCGGCCTTCCGGAGTCCTCAGGGCGCCCCCCGCGCCACTACCAGGCGCGCGCTGGGCGCTCGACCAGCCGCCGCGGTCGTTCCCGGAGCCCGCCAAGACGCTGCGGCCGCTCCAGGCCCCGTCGCCGCAGTGTCCCGCAGGCGCCGTCGCGGTGCACCGTCGACACCGCCCGCGGACACGCTCCCGACCCAGCCGCCTCGCCACTGCTGCCCCTGGCTGCCCCTTTCCCGCCAGTGCCTCCCGGCGGACCGTCGCCTCTGGCTGGCCAGCCTCCTCAGTCCATGCCCGCGCCTGGGCTCGAGGCAGTCGTCGATCCAGTCGCGCGCCAGCTCCTCGGCCTCATGCAGCAAGCTGGGCATGGGGGCCCCCGCGCCGCGCAGTGCTCTCTGCCAGGTCCCGCCACCCACGGCCACTCCACCTTGGAGGGGGTTCGCCGCGCGATTCGTGGGCTGGGTCACGAGGACCTTCGCAAGCTGGTGTTCGACGAGGATGAGGCGCCCCTCACCATCCGCAACGTCGCCTACGGCTTTCCCCCTGGCTTTGAGCCAGACCTCGCCTGGGAGGACCCGCGCTTCAAGGACGCCCGCATTGCATGCAATGCCGAGATGATGCGTCGCTGCAAGGCTCTCTGCATGGCCAAGACGCGCAGTGCCCTCACTGAGAACCCAGGCGAGTACATCCCGTACGTCATGAGGTCCCCGGCCCGCCGGAACTTCCAGAAGATCGTGCCACTGGTCCCCATGGATGCCGACACATACAACTTCAATGTTTTTCTCACATGGCTCACCCGGAACTCCCCATACACGATGAAGAAGGACGCCCTCCCAGACATGATCTCCAAGGTCGCAGCCAGCATGGTCGACGACGGCCAGGCCATCATCGAGGCTCAAGAGGGCTCGCAAGAGGCCGCCCTCCTGCCTGCCGCGTCCATCCGTGCCCTCGCGCGGCCCCCCGGCCCCGCGGCCCCGGGCCCCGCCGCCGCTGCTGCCCAAGACGCCGCGGCGGCAGGCGCTGTCAGCATCACCCTGGAGGACCTGCAGAACTACTCCTTCACGAAGCTCCACGACGCCCGCCAACCCAAGTCCCTCGACTGGGCCCTGGAGGACACTGACGTCACGTCCGACGACACCCAGGAGCTCCGCGACAAGTTCAAGGCTTACCACACCGCCCTCAAGGCGCTCGCCCCCAAATCCACGGGCGGCCGCACCAAGACCCCGGGCAGAGCCAATCAACAAGCCAGCGCAGCCTTCAAGAAGGCGGTCGAGACTATGGGGATCAAGTTCGACGCCACCCGCCTCACGGACGTCGTCAAGCTTGTCGCGGCCGTCCGGGCCCGCAGCGACGAGCTCGGCCAGTGACTGACTACGGCCGCTCTCAGCGGCCGTCCATCCGGCGGCATCTGGGACGTGCATTGTGACGGGATGCCATGTGTCTCCCGGACCCCGTACATTCGCCTGTTTGTCTCCACCCTCATCGGCCTCATTCAAGGCTACCTGTGCGTGCTCTACTCTGACACGGGACCCCTCAAGTGGGGCAGCACCTTTGCGCTGCAAAGCGCCGGTTTTGGTATTGCTGCCCATTTCCCCATGGCCTCCACGTTCAAGCGCCACGCCCGGCTCCGCATCCTTGCAACCACCCTCCCGCGGTCCACGTGGCCGCCCTCCGAGTCCTTGCTCGACGCATCGTTCGTCGTCTACATTATGTGGAGCCCGTGGCGCCCGTGCTTCTACGTCGGCAAGACGGTCAACTTCCGCGAACGCCTCCGCAAGCACATCTACACTTTCCTCAACACCTCCTGCGACTCCCAATAGCCATACATGGAGGTGCTTCGCCGGCAAGCCAGGGGAGACGCCGCCCGTGCTGCCTCGGCATGGTTCTACCTCCCCATCGCCTGCTTGTCCAGCGACGCGGAAGCCCTCACCCTCGAGCAGCGCGTCGTCGCCTCCGAGCACCCGCGGCTCAACGTGCCCTACGTCCACCGTTTTGCCTTGCCAGGCAATTGGCCACACCCGGCCCGCGGAGGGTTGTGCCTCACGGCTGCGGCTCCGACACCACCGGCGAGGATCTCCCAGTCCCGTCGGCACGGACAGGCCATGACCTCGCGCGAACCATCCGCGTCGGCATGCCTCCTCGCCTTGTCCGGCCCACCATCCACGCCAATCACTCGCTGGGCCCACATCGCATGCAACACCTTGGAGGATGACGACGTCCGCCCTGGCCACGCTGATTTGTACCGGCTTACGGCAGAGGAGTGGTGCGCAGTCTGGCACCGCGTCCACAAGCGGCATGAGAGCGCCACCCGCGCCATCGGGCTCAAGGCCCTCGAGTCCGTTCGCCGCTTCCGTCGCTGGCCCCGGCCGCGCCTCAACGCGCAGGGCGCTCTCCCATGGCTGCCGCACTCTGGCACCAAACGCGCGTTCCAGGGCATCATCCACCGCCTCATCCAACATGCCCGGGAACGTGGCCAGACCTTGCTGCTGCCGGCCATTCGCGACCTCAAGGTCATGCTTTCGCCAATGGCCGTCATTGCGCTCCGGGCCGGCTTGCGTAATGCCCCCAGCTTCTACCGCCGTCTTGGCGATAGTGGGCCATGGCCGCGTGCATGCCACATGCATCCGGACCTCCCCCGCTACCCGTCCCCTGACGGCGAGTGCCGCATATTCGCCACACAGGACACATGGCCCTGGCCCGCTCACCTCTGGCACCTGCGCACCCTGCCAGCGCACACAGCACTCGTGCCATCCCAGGCGCGGTGCACTGCCGCACGCCGCCGCCTGCCCCGGCGCCTCGTGGCTGCGCTACGGCTCGACTGTTCGGCGGCCTTCATCGACTGCTGCGTCCACGACGTGGTATCCAGCATTGCCTTCAACTTCGACGCGCCGCACCTCCCGTTGGACTTCGACCCCGTACCGGAGTCGGTCATTCGCGCTGGCCGGTCACTCACACGCGGCCTCGTCGTCGAAGAACTTCAGAAGACCAAGCACGTGCTCGTAGCTGAGTGTCCCCGCCGAGTGCAGTTGCTCTGCACGGCCCTGTTCGGCATCACGGGGCAGAACCCGCACTTCGT